TCAACCGAAGCCAAGTTCATATACTTATGTTGCATTGGGTTTAAACCAACTTTACTGTTGGGCACAACTTCATTACGGCATTTTAAAACAGGATATTACAGATGGCAAGCCATGGAAGACAGTGTTGAAAATGAGAAGTAGAAATGTTACAAAGGATATTTTTCGACAGCACGCATGTGAAAGACGCCGACAACATCGATAGACACTGTCGACAATGTCGTATTGCCTGGTTGACACGTAGCACACGCCTGATGTGACATTACGGAACGTAATGAGATTTTGTGTCAGCTTTGTGTTTTGTGGCATTGGCCCTGGCTATGGCAATGGCAACTGCAATCCCGGGCCCTAAGATTTATGTACATTCAATGGTCAGTTGCGAGTTACATGTTGCATGTTGGAAGGTGGAATTAAGTGTGGTTGCTGCCACAAGTTGCCAGCTTGATTAAAATGCCATCAGTTGCTCTGGGATAGTGGGATAAGCCAACGCATAACCAGAACCGACTCGAGAAGGTTTCAAATATTAATATTATTCTCGTTAGTTAATGTCAATGCTAATGTTAATGTTAACGTTAATGTTAATGTTAGTCTGTAGAGCAAATTAATCTAACGTCATGCATTGAAAAGCGAGCAAAGGTAATTTCGTTATTTAAACACAATTAAGTACACCTTAAGGAATTATAATTGATGTCTTTCAATTTAATAAAGAGTAAAATTCTATCCATTTAAGTGAATTAAGAAGCTAAACATTTTTAATTGCTCAAAGCTTGTAGCTCAAATACAGTACCTTAGTGTAAATGCGAATATTAAAGCCCAATTATATTAAGGAGATAGACGTCGCCTGACAGCTGACTTGCCACACGGTAGCGCACAGCTGTCCCAGTAGATGGCTGAACGGAACAGAAGAGTATTGCGTAAACGACAGGAGAAGAGAGGGGGAGAGAGCAGGAGAGACGAAAGAGCCAAGCAGCCATTTGCCGCACTTAATAAATTGTCAACGGCTGCTAAATCTTGAGCAAGACTAAAAAGCTAATGTTATTGTTGTTGTTTCTGTTGTTGCTCTAATTGTGATTCTATGGCGCTGTTGCTACATCCTTGTACATTTTATTCTAATTTTTTAGCAAAATAAAAAGGAGAGAGACCCCACACAGTATATATATCCTGATCAGGTCTATTCTTTAAAATCGAATTCACTTAGTTTTAAAGCCATCAGCACTTCACTTTTCTCATGAAAATTAGGTTGTTTTATGATGAAGCTTTTTTCTTTTTAATTTTGAAGATATCTTGTAGAAAAAACATAGGAATGTTTCTTATATATCGTATAATCTGACCTAAATCAGGCTAATATATCATAAAGATTTAAGGAATGGATTCGTGGAACATAAGTTTTCAGACGGAAAGCTTGTTTATTTTTAAAAACATCTTGACAAAAGAGCCCATTTAAGAGCCCAATACATCGGAATACATTGTCATATATCTGCCACAGGATTGATCAGTCAACAAAAAAAGTATTTGAACTTTGATGATAACTTGACGAAACTTGGCAGAATTTAACTCATATACGAAAAGCTTTTTTGCTTAACAAATATCTTTTTGAAAAAATCGTATGAGCATCGGAACACTATATCCTATGGCGTCTATATGCATACTGGGAGAGAATTAGTTTCTTGAATAGTTCACATCGAAGCCAATGTCTGGTAGGGTATTTCAACTATGACATGCCGAATATAGCTGTTCTTTCTTGTTATTTCCGGTGTTGCTGTTGCTTTTACTGCTGCTGTTACTGTTACTGCTGCAATGCCATTGTCATGTACTTTTCGCAGTTGTTGCTGCTGCTTCTGCTTCTGCTTCTGCTGCTTGGTTCTGCTGCTGTCGCCTTGGCTTTTATATCAGAGCCGTTAATTGTTTCACGTTGAAATTGTCTACGCTTCTTGGCTATCTTCTGCTGGCCGGCCACTCGCTGCTGCTGTCTCCGGTCGTTTCTATTAGTTTTAATTAAACACCTGAGCGTCCATCGTGCTAATTATTGTGAATGTCCATTCGTGGCATTTCGTTTTTAATCATAGTAATTGTTGGTGCGCTTGTTATTAACAATTAAATGTTGCCTTCTGCTTTTATTTTGTTATTGTTCTGGCTCTAGCGTTTTTACACACACACACACACACACACATATATATATGTATATATATATTTTTATTTTGTCTGTTACGCAGACCAATTTAGCATTTAATCAATACAATTAAAGCCTTGGATCTAGACTGCGAACATCATTAAAAGGAATGCCAAGACAAAGAGAAAGAGACAACGGCAAAGACGACAATGACGATAACAAAAATAAACATTAAAACAGAAAAAAAAAAAAACAAAAACAAAAGAAAAAAGCAACAGCGATAAAAGGCAGCCAGCCAAGAGGCAAAACTTGTTGGGCGATTCTGTATAGCTGTCCGCCTGAGAGAGATACAAAAGCGGGATTAAAACTTTTTTTCTAGCAACCAAAATTTAAGCCACACATACACTAGAGAGCGAGTGGCAAAGAGAGAGACGGAGATAGAGTGCTGGTGTGAGGGGGTTAGGGGGTGAGGGGGTGTAGGTAGAGAGGCTCAAGTAACGCACCCGCGCACGCCCCTTATCTATGGCACAAACAAAAAATCCTACAAAATGCGCACACCAAATCCTAGGGCAGGGGCAATAAAGGCAGCGGCTGCAAGGGGGCGGGCTTGAGCACACTGTGTGTGTGTGTGTGAGAGAGAGGGGCGGGAGCAGAAGTGAAGCATGGCAAGTTTTTACGCAAATAAACGCACGTTTTTGCACAACTTTGCGCCACTTTCATTTTGTTTCGCTTGTTTTTTTTTTTTTTTGTTGCTGTTGTTGTTGCCCCTTTTTATATGCTACACTTTTTGTCTCTTGGCTGGCGAGTTTGTGCATGTGTGTGCTTTTGTTGGGCTTCCTGTTTGAGTTGTTGTTGCCAAATTCGGAACTAATGGAAAATAGTAATTACAATAATTTTGTGCCTGCTTTTAAGCCTCCATCTATTTCTGGCTTTTTGGCATTAAAAATGTGCATAAAAAATAAGAACAAAAACACGAATGCAAAAATACAAAAAAAAAAAAAACAAACAAACCAAAAGCAAACAAAACAAAATAAACATAAAGCTATTATGGTTTTAAACGAGACTACACCCCCTGCCCTGCCCCCCCTGCTGGTGTGTGGAGAGAGGGGACTGTTGGCTCTGGGGCGGCAACTTGTTTAGAGGCTCGTCTATTTGTGTGCGTGCTGCGTGAAAATTAATAATAAATCAAAATTAAATGTTTGCTTACTTGACACTTTGGCTTCCTTGCCTGGCCGTGCGCAGCTTTGCCCTTTCTCTTTCTCTTTTCTGTTTTCTGTTTTCGGTTTTCTTTATTTTTATTACTTTACGCTGCTTTTATTTTTGTTTATTATTATTTATATGCGATGCTGCTGCTGGTGACGTTCAGGTTCAGCTTCTGTTGTTGCCTTTTTTTTTTTTTTTGTTTGTATTATTATTTATTTTTTGCCTGGCTTGTAAAATGTATTTACCATGCAGCCCGAAGCCCAGTCAATTGGCTTTTGGGTACTTTCAAAATGTTGCAAAATGTTTAACAGGCAATTAATTTTATGGTAAATCACAACAGCAGCAGCAGCAGCAGCAGCAGCCGCCGCAGCGGCAGCCGCAGCCGCAGCAACCTCTGCAACAGCTGCCAACGGCAACAACAACAATGAAAGCGACAACAGCAGCAACGCATTAAATCGTTTATAAATCACTTTCGACCACTTGCACATACATTCGCACACGCACGCACGCACACACACGCACACACTGTTATGAGCTTATGTGAGTATTTCATACTTTTTGGCAGCGCAATAAAATACCATTTATTGTGCATGTGGCGAAGCTAAGGGCAAAATAAGTTTCAATTCGGCAAACAATTAATCCGCGATTTCATTTCAAACAAAAAATAAATTAAAAAAAAAAATAATTATAACAACTATAAGTCTTGGAGCTTATCAGCGAAATAACACACAGCCCAATTTTCATTTGAACAAATTCAAATTTTACTTTGCCAGCTGCACATTTCGTCTGTCCTTCAACTTTTCCCTTGCAGAATATTTTTAATAATTGTGTTTTTTTTTTTAATATATTTTCTTAGCCATGAAACTGTTCGGCCATGCGGTAAGCCAAAATTAACAGAGCCCGTTCCGTATTTAACTTTCACTTTAGTTTCGGTTCGAAGGAAGCAAAGATCGTGTTTCAATCCAGGCTGCGGCATTGTTCTCAAAGCTTTAACTGGAAACCGCTTCTTAAAACACATCAATTGCCCTGAAAGCATTCGAGCCGAAACTCTCTCTATACAAAACTTTTTAAGGCATATCGAACCCTAAAGTTCAAACAACCTTGGCACGAACCCTGGCATCTAACCATATTTCGTAGATGCCAATTTTTAGGTAGAAATCTAATTAAGCCCGCATCTTGTATATGAAAATATCTACGACTTGCAACACTCTCAGCCAAGCGGGCTGCATTAGAAAAGAAAAGTTGGCTTGCTTCACTAAAATTTTGAAAAATAAAAACAAATGGGAAATAGAGGCTCAAGCCAAAGCCTAAGTTCATGGAGGTGAAAAACCAGCTGCCCAAATCCTACCAGTCAGAAGCTCTTTTGCATTCCAATTGAAAAAGATGAAAGAAAAAAAAAAACACCGCAAAATGCTGCCGTATATGTGAAAGCGATTAATTTGCAAAGAACTCAAAACTAAATTGACTTTTGTTGCAATTAATTTTAATTTCGTTCACTTTTCATCATTTGCATGTAAATATTATTTATTTTCTTCTGGGAGCCTTTGCAATTAGTAAAAATCAATTTCTACGTTAATGAAGATAATTATGAAAAAAATTCCTGCACTCATTAATGATGAACAAAAAAAAAATCGTTTGGAATTTCGCGTCAATTGCTTTAATTGAATAAATCAAATATTGCACGGTATTTCAGTAGCAAAACTATGCCAAGTATTTGCTGTCAAACAAAAATCAGAGCAAAAGAAACATTTTTACCCTAATTAGGCATATAAAAAATATAGTTGACGGTATTTCAGAATAAAAACTGTACAAAGTATTTACCGAGAAATCCGATATGATAGTAAAAGAAAAAATTGTTGCGTTGATTAAGTATCGAATATGGAATAAAAAATTCGAAATACGAAAAATTGTGAGGTAAGGTATTTATTTTCACAAAAATGGTTGCATTCATTAAGAATACAATTTCAATAATTATGCCAAATGCAAAAGCATGCAGAAGCATGACAAGCCCGGATGGATTCCAGATGAGCTGTCCCTATGAGAAAGTTTTTTGGCAGCCGAACAACAAGGATACAAACTTCAAGCCCAGCCTAATTAGACAAAAGCCCCAGCCACAGACGAAAAAGTTGGGTACACATTTTGTAACTATGTGAATGCTTAACTAGGTAGAATTATTTAGGATATGTTCAGCTTTAACAACAGGATGAACTCCTTTTCAAGGAAGTCTTTAAGAGAGCTGCCCAACTATGCAGTTAACCATTTGTTTGACTCAATTCTTTTGCTTTTTCCTATTGAAATATATATTTATAGTAGGAATACATTGCGTATCGAAATAGGATCAAAAGATCAAGAGATTCACAAATCGGAAGAGGTGCATAGCTCCTAAATTTCTCTGTAAATTTCTTAGTAAAGCATACAAATTTCTGAGCCCTAAACTGTGGACAATGAATTAAATCGAAACGAACATCAAGTGAAAGCCTAAAATTTAAATATTTCTTTAAAAAACAGCATCAATAATAATATTATTTAATATCAAAGTGAGAAAATACACATGCTTTTTGTATTTGTATTACGTTTACAATTCACAGCTTTAAAAAAAAATGCTCTTAAAAAGTATGTCCTCAATCCCATATAAATCAAATCTTTGAATTTTTTAGGTTTTTTTTTTCATTCTTCTTTTGCTTTTCTGTTGCATTTATCAATTTGATTTATTTGCTTTTATCACTTGGCATAGTATTTATGCGTTCGCTTAATTTATTGCTTTGCCAGCATTAAAAAAAAAAATCCAAAAAAAAAACGTATCTTAACACATTTAAAAAAAAATAATGCAATTTGAAAATTTTGCGCTCACCGTTAGATTTCAATTCACTGCGAGATTAACCGTTAAACTCAAACTCAAATTGCACACTGGAAAAGTCGACTTGGAAAATGTTGTGTTGCTTTTGTGCGGGAAAAAAAAATGTTGTAATTCTTTTGAAATAATTCAATTAATTATATTAATTAACTTTACGTTAAGATTTGAATTTTTTTCTTTATTTTTTGTTAATATTTTTTTTTTTTTTTTTTGTTTTGTGATTTGATTTAGTGTGTACGGTTGTGTGTGTGTGTTTGAGTGTTTGATTCTTGGATTCTGCTCCTAACGAAAAATTTCAACTGGTTGTCGCGAGGCTGCTCGAAGCGGAGTGAAGTGTTGAATATGCTGCACGGCAGCGCCAACTCTGGTTTCTGTGGCCAGCAGCGACGACGATGAGCACGAGAATGACGCGACCAACGATGGCCACGGCGAGACGAGCCAACGAGTCGGCCGACGATGGCGAGGACGATGCCAAACGACGGGACTGACGAGGATGTGGACGAGGGCGAAGTTGAGGATGAGCATGAGGGCAAGGACGAGGACGAAGTGCGAGTACGAGGACGCAGACGAGGCCGAACGAGGCGACAGCGACGACAATGAGGGGCACGAGAAGACAGCGGCTCGGAGATGGCGTCTCGAACTCAAATCGCTTCAATTTCAGTTTGATGACACGGGCTGGGCACGGCCTGTGATGGGGGCCGGCGGCGGCGGCGCGCAATTGCTGCAGCCTCATCAGCATGCTAGTGTTGGTGTTAAGGACATGGTCGTATCCTGTGCGTGTGTATCTGCCAGCAGAGACGCAACAGTGCCGACAACGTCGAGCCCTAAGCGGCGGCGGCGCCAGCAACAACAAGTGGAACTACATTTGGCCATTCGGCTTTGGCTTTGTGCATTCGGCAAAGCGCGCACGCACACACGCACACACGCCCACACGCCCACATACAGACACACACACACACACACACACACACGGACATTCGTATTTTGTGTATTCGCTCTATGCGAATCGTTTTCGGTTTCAGTTTTGCTTTACCTTCATTTTTTTTCCAGCTCAGCTGTACACGAGCAACAAAAACTAAACAACAAAAAAAAGAAGAAAGCACAATTTGGCCAAATAGCCAAAAAGCTTCCGCTGGGTGGCGCCACCAGCTTAAGCATGCCTCAGCCAAAGCAGTCAAAAAACTTAAAAACCAACAAAATACAACTAATAGTACTCTGGCCGTGAGTGCCCGACTATAAGATACCCTGAACCCACAGCGCCGAGCTGCCGTTAAAAATATTCTTGCTTCTTTCTACAGATACACACACATACTCACACATGCACACACACGCACGCACGCATAAACGCATAGAAACACCGCGCTGGCACACAACGCTTGTGCTGCTGCTTTCCTTAGCCCGATGCTGTGGAAAAAGCTTTCTTTTTGAGCCATCCATGATATGTCTTGAGAGGCCAATATTCAAATAGTTCCTGAGTTAGGCACTTTCCTACATACGCCCAGGCAGACGGACGGACAGAGAGGAAGACAATCGCAATTGCTTTCTTTTGCTTGTTACACTCACTGACACAAACCATTCTACCCTTTTGAGTGAATTTCAATTTGTACAGGGTATGAAAAGCATAAAAAGCTGTAAGCACACTCACACATGCACTTGAGATTTGATAAGGCCAAATTTTGGCCACAATTGAATTGTTGTTGCTTTCTCTTCTCTAATTTTTTGCCAGCGCTTTGCTTCTAATTATTTTATGCAAATGAACCGAGAACAAGAGAACAAGAAAGAGGGAATGAGAGTGTTTGGCATTAGGTGAGTGCATGAGCAAAAAATAATCTCCATTGTTGTGATCTCTGCATTTCGTACAGAAATAAACCGACAAGTTGTTCAAATTTTCAGTTGTCTTTTGACTTTCGTTTAGAGAAGATCTTTTTATGGATTTACTGTTCCTTAGCCGGCGCATTTATTTGGGCGATGGCAGCCACGAGTTGCCCCTCAACGGTGGCATCATTGTGGACACGGGCGGCATCATCAGACGCGGTAAGAGGATGGGGCTCAATCTCGCAACCTTTTGCCCATTATAAGGTGGAAAAAATACTTATTTATACACTGTGTTAAGTATGACACTTGTTTGGTTTTATTTAATTTTAGGTTTCTCTTGACTGCCAAAAAGCTATAGAGAGTGGGCAAGCAGAGAGAGAGAGACAGAGAGAGAGCTAAAATTGTTTGTGTTTATAGCAGCAGCTCGTGAATAGAATCTATATATTATGCGTTTCGTTCACTTCCAGTGCGAATGCTTTCGACTCCAGTCTCGCAAAGAAAGTGACACTCGCCCAATGCTTAAACTGGTTGCGAATTGTAAGGCATGAAGTAGCGGAACGAAAGCAAAGCATCAGTTCATTCTCTGTGTGTTTAACCCTAATGGAACTACACACTCCAGCAACGTCAGTCCTGTCCTCTTCTTTCGTAACACATTGATCTTAAAGATTAACTTAACTTTCCGAGCAAAATCAGTTCACTCCACGTTGTCGATAGCCCAAGAGCTTTTTAATTTAAGTTTTTGACCGTATCTTGGGACTTACATGAGTTGTACAGCAAATTTAGATTATAGGCGTTCGTAAGGTATACACAATATTGATATTTTTAAATATAAGCTTTGGTGAAAATATTCAATTTTGAATATGCTACTTTGTTTATAAAATAAAGCGCATGATGCAAGATTTATAAGTATAGAGAATCATTAGGTTATTGATGCATCCACAAAACAGCTTTAATATTGTAACAAGTAATCTCTAGATATAACTGTTTGTCCTGATTGACTGATTGACTGACTGACTGACTTACAGACTGAATAACTGACTGACTGATTGATAGACTGACTGACTGACTGACTGACTGACTGACTGACAAGGCGCAAATTCATTTGAGGAGTGTTTCACGCTTTTCGGAAAATTCATTTTTTCTTTGCGAAAATGAGAGTCAAAGATTTGGTGGGTAAGGTTTCCCGTTTCAATCATTTCTAAAGTTCTTTATGAAAAAATTACTTGTGACTTGTTTCACACTTTTTGCAGAATCCAAGCTTCCTCGAAGGAAATTGTGGACCAAAGCTTTTTGAGCGAAGTTTACGTTTCGTCCAATCGGCTTAAAACTACATAAGAACTTTATGAATGCTTGAAACGGGTGAAACAGGTTATATTTAAAGGGATAATCACAAACTTGGCTCTTATTATTATTAAAAATAAAATAAAACATATAATAGATAGCTAGTGTTGTACTGTCTTAAGTTCATCTATTTGAATTTGTTCAGTTTTAAGTCGATAAAAATTAAATGCGCTCCAGACATTGATTTAATGTACATATATCTGCAGCCTCTATTCAAATAAAAGAGTAGTCTATTTGATTAAATCACAAATTGATCGTTTATGCACATTCATGCACAGTTTATGAAACAAACAAAACAAGAGGTATGCACTCCAGATTGAAAGTAAAGTAAATACAGTGCAGTTAAAACAAAAATGTAATAAAGTGATGCATAAAAAATCGAAATAAAAAACTGCATGAATGAAAAAACGCATAAAGCTTACCTACAGCTTTTATCCTAATGCATTAAAGTGAAATATTTGGTTGTGCCAATAGCAAATATTGTTTGCCAAACTCGTCCATTTGCATTGAAAATTCACAATATAAAAACCAATTCCAATTTCTCTGACAAGTAAATATTACTTGTAGCCACAATGAGGGGAAAACCCCTCTAGACTGACGTACATATTTCAGGGAAAAAAAAAGAAACACAAAACTAATTGCAAATTTTTGTTTTTGCCAAAATGTAAAGATTGCATAAAATTGTGTTAAATGAATAGAATTTCTTAAAGGATTCTGAAAATTCATAAATCAATTCGATGCCAAGCAAAAAGTACTAAGAATTTGGCATTTTGAGAAATTAGATCTTCCACGAATCTGTTTTGAAATAATGTTAGACAAATGTTCAAATTCTGCAGATTGAAAAAACTAATTGCTTATACTATATATTGAATATTGATTGGGAAATATCGGAATGTTGTATATTACATTAAATTGAAAAACTCTTTAGGCCCTCTCTCTGTCTCGCTCTATCTCATGTTCATGTTACATTTGCTTTCAGTCCTACGCACAGCGCAAGAGGTGAACACCTATCTATATAATACGGAATCGGAAGCTGTCTATGATTTTGGGGATCTTCTGCTGATGCCGGGTCTAATTGATACGAATGTGCACATCAGCGAGCCAGGCCGCACAGACTGGGAGGGATTTGTGTCGGCGACTAAGGCGGCAGCCGCTGGCGGTTTCACCACCATCATCAATCGGCCCACGTGAGTAACTGCCAGATTGTGGCTAGCGCCTGGCTGCTAGAGCTCCTACAAGCCTATCTACAGTTAAACGCCCGCAGCAATGCCACGCCTACCACAGTAAACGTGCAGGCGCTCAAAGCAAAAACCAGCACGGCACGCGGCAAAATTTACGTGGATGTGGGCTTCTGGGGCGGTCTGGTGCCCGGCAACATTGATCAGCTGGCGCCGCAGCTCGCGGCCGGCGTGGTGGGACTACAGTGCACACTCTATGGCAGTGCACCGCCTGTCGGCGAGGAATTCGCAGCGATCAACGAGGCCCAGCTCGTCGAGGCGCTCAACCAGCTAAACAAGGAGCACGAAACGGATGCGGTTATAGCGGTAGCTACTTATATGTGTACAACTACTACTAACGAATTATAATGATTCGATTTACGGATCGTAAATCAACTTCCTCAAGCCTCAAGCCTTGTGCCAATGTCTATAACAAGCAGAAGGAGCCTTCTCCGATCCCAGCTGACTCAATCTAGCCATGTCTGTATCTTTGGCTGTCTGTCAGCTGAATCTAAATATTTCAATTTTAAACGTAGATCGTCAAATAATATAATAATAATAGTTATAGAAGCCAAAATGGGTATATAGACTCTCGTATAGTACACGCAGATTAAATCATCGATAAGTAGCTCGTCTTTCCTCATTTTTTTTTATCTTTATTTCAACACTTCACAATCCTTTCGCTCTGACCAACCGCTCTGACTACCACTCCCACGCAGAATAGTCTTGCACTTCGGAACATTATTCAAAACCAAATGTGAATTCCGAT